TCAACGCGATTTTGTTTGTCTAATCATTTTGTTATTATGTTAATGGTGTTTATAGAACCCCTTACTCTTGTCTATTGCTTTTTTCCAGTTTGAATATCTTGTTATAGAAAATACTATTTCTTTTGTCTCTTTATTAACATAAATTCAGCGTGAAAAACAAAATGCGATGATTTCTTTTTGTACTATATTCAAGCCAATCAAATAATTTAAACCATTGACTTATGAAAGTTCTACTAACTACTTGAGAAGAAGACGGAAGAAACATTTGATTTATTTTATTAAAACCGATAGTTTGATGTTTTAAAAATCGGTTTTATCATTAAAAAAAATATTTTCAAATGTTTAATTTTTATTAATTGAGCTGATTTGATTACCCACGAATATCCATATTATGTGTAACAAAAACTAAAAAAATAAAAATTACCTCATACAGTTTGACTTAAATTTAATAAAACTGAATTAGTATAATAGTAATATGACAATTATTTGTTATTTTACCTTTAAAAAACGTTGATGTGTATCTTAACACAATGTCACTACAGTCAAGTAATAATATAAAAAAAAATAGAAATGTATTAAACGAAAATATAAAATAATCGTATTTAGTATGAAAATTGATTGGATCATATTTAGAAATAGTTTCATTACAGTCGTCGGTTTAAATGGAAAAAAAAGTTATAATAATGATTGATAATAATATCTAATGAAATGTTGAATGCTATCGTGTTGTCATCAGACATTCATCAGATGCCATCGTAATTTCCAGAGTAAATTTTATACAATATTGCTAAAAATTACTTTTTATATTAAACAGTGCTTCTATTGCTGATGAAATTATGAAGCAATAAATGATAAATATCTAACTACCATGGATAGTAAAAACCTACTATCCACAGTCATACTAACTACTAAAAAGTCATAACTTTTTTAAGATTTGTTAGGGGGAAATCCCCCTACTGCCTCCCTGTGGCTACAGGCTGGCCTGTCTGTGGATGTCAGAATAGAAATTAAAATTTGTATTTTGCTAAAGTAATAATATATTGTATAACTAAAATCTTTTTTAATAACGGTAATACGAATAGTTCTCTAAAAGACATTTTAAATAGATTGAACCTGTATGGCATTAAGTATTTGATTCTCAAGTTTGAAATTAAATAAACTCGCGTTAAGAGAAAAAATATTTTCAATGAAGTTTATGTTTGAATACAATTCATAAACACCATTATTATTTAAGCATATTTTATTATTATTCTGTATTTTACAAATATTATTTCAAGTATTTGTGCACAATCATTGCATGGAATTACATTCTTCGAGAAGACCCCGTTGTTTGTATTTTAAAATCAATATAATCCGGTTTATCTATAGAAAATGTGTCATGTGCAACATAAATTGAGCGGAAAAAATTACATAATATACTTAAATGTATTATATACGTTGTACTAATACATTTCTAAGGATACCATAAAAAGTCATTTGTTTCTTATAAAGTTAATTTTCGAATTTTAATTAAACGGAACAAAGAAGTTGGGTCACGAAGGACTTAGCATTATAGAAATAAATCTTACAAAATCCAACATGTAGATGATTTATAACAAATTAAAAACTACAGCATAAATACAATCAATTTAGAAATCTGGCGCATAAAATTATTAAAATATAATATCTATTCCATTGGTACACCATACAAAATTAAAACTGTTCATCGATAACATTTATGATAGGTACGTGTTATGTCACCGTAATTTGCGATGTTGACTTTTAAGGACCAAACAGCACTGTAAACATTATTTAACATCGTTAAAAAAATCCCGTGATGTTAGTTGACTCATAGAGTAATTATTAGTGTAAATAAAAAAGATTAGATATAAGGTTGCTTAAACATAAAACAAGATACAAATATACTTGTCAAATTCGTCTACGAACACTATTATTAGGCATAATAATCTATATATAGTAGATTTTATTCAAATGGCAACACGAAATATTTGCTTAGTGACCTCAGTTTGAAATAGGATTTCTAAAGGGAGTTAGGAAGTATTAAAATGTAAATTTTTTTGATGATTTTCAAATTTCTTACTCTTTCAATATGTTCATCAATACTAATTGCATTTTTATAAATGGAAACGGATATTTTTAACACTAGATTCAGATAGACCAAATATATATTGGATAGACAAAATGTTTTAAACATTTTTTGTAAATATTTACAATTTTTTAGATATTTTCTATCTCAAAAATTGGCTGATATACAGCGATAAGAAATTGAAACAAAAAAAAGCTCAATTTCTAAAAACTTAAAATGACTGTAGAATGAAAATAGATTACTCAGAAGTAATAATTTTAAAGGTTTATTTAGTTAAATTTATATTTTAATTTTTAATTTTTTTTAAAAATGTATGATATAAAATTCTCAACTTAATCTTACGAATTGTTATGTCCAATTACGTTTTGTTCATTAAATTGGATACATATTCCTAAAATCAGTTTGATTTCATCATGAGAAGCTAATTATTTGTAATTTGTTAATTTATTGGTAATGTGCTTGTTTCGGAAATTTTCTGTTTTAAATACTGGAAATTATTCGGTGGATTAGCATAAACTAGAGATTTTTATAGATTTTAAATGTCCCTAAAGAAAAATTCAATTTGTGTTCAATGGGCAGAACGTGCAGTCCAAGCTATCAATCTATAGGTCCCAATCTAAGAATTTCCAAATGTATTATTTAGTTATTGTCTTACATAATCTTCAGTATTTATAACATATAATCACCAATATATGCACACAATTGAGACATGAACAGTGTTGGGTTAACAAATCTGCCGCATGGGGGCAGATTTTAAAATTCCACCCTTCAACCCCCTCCACAAACCAAAATATATATATACAATTAACAACATAGTTAAGATTATTTAGTTAATATATATTTATAAACATATTGTAACACCGATAGTTTTTAAATGTATATACCTTAGTAGTTACTAAATATAAACATTTAAATACAAATTTATTCAATATAAGAAATTTACAATTATTTTTAGATTTCTGTGGAGCAAAATTTTCCAAAATATCATTTCAATCTATACTTTTTAGGATAATATTCTCAATAGACATTAGAGCCAACGATGACATATTTTCATTAGATAATTATGTTCTCTGGTAGTTCTTGACTTTTTTTAAAACTGAGAAGGATCTTTCTCCGCTAGCATTTGAACATGGTATAGATAAAAAAAGTTTTAAAGCTATTTTTACAATAATGTAACGATATACGCCTAAGCATTCATATAATTTTTAAAATTGAATGTATAATGAAATAATTATAATATTCGATTGCCATTAAATATAATAATAAGTCGTAAGTATTAAAGATAAGATATTACATACAATCGCACACACATACACGCGCACATACACACACAACATCATATATAAGGAGTATAGTTTTTTAGTTGAACAGCAGACGTGTTCTTATTGTTATTTTGTATGGATGATCAAAGGCGAGTGTAAAAGACTACGCAGATCATCTATGTAAAAGGACTCAATAAATTGTAAACGTTCTATAATAATGTATTAATGTGTGTATAAATAATTTAAATAAAATTAATATAAGAGAGTTAAAAAAAGAAAGTTATTGTTATTTTAAAATAAAAGTTAAAGGAAGTAAAAATTGCCGCCCAAGGCAGCTTTCTCCTTTGCGCCCACCCCTCATAACCCGGCACTGCACGTGAATAAAGCATAACAATTACTTAATATTATGTAATTTGGTGTTTAGAAACATGTTTACAGCATAATGAACAAACTTCAAATAATTCATTATATGACAATGAATATTATGTCTTAAGTTATTCAAAATAAAATTTCAACTTCAGCTGAATTTAAATAAATTTTTAAAGTTCTTCTTTCGTGCATCGCGTTTTCAATCATAAATATACGAAAAAAAATCTCATCAAAAATTACAATACAATGATACTTATTTTATTTCACTCTTTGAATATCTTCTTTTTTTATGTACCACAAATTGCAGCTATATATGTTTAATAAATTACAAGTTACTTATATTATATTTATTGCGTTGATTTTTAAATTAATTATTAAACGAGTGAAACTTGTTATTTTTCGTTCATAGACTCCTCCGAGTTGGGATGTATGCTTGATATTTTCACTTAGAACACAACCTTGTCTCCTTATTGGGAACTACCGATCCAACCGACACGCGTGTAACCAACCATGATTCTAAGTTGTGTCAACGAGCTTTACAGCCGCGTTTATTGATACGACGTGACGGGGGGGGGGGGGCAAACCGATCAAATCGGTTGTATAACATCAAGTCCCGGTCCGTCCGTCCGTTACAAAATCGAACCGGACCTGTAGGCGCGCAGCGTCACACCCACCCGAGTCGGACCCCGGGGATCGCGATATATATGGCCGTAGCTGGATAGTCTCTGGCGCGAAGGTGATGGTGGTGATGTCGGGGGCTCGATACCGAGCGAGAGAATTCCAAAGGGCCCGCGGGAAGGCGACGTTTGAAACAACAGCAAAAACGAACGAAAACAATGGTAACAATAATAACAATAATAGTAATAATAATAATAATAATAACGGTAAATATCGTCGGTCGGTTCGAGAGCGGCCCGCGCACGTCGAGGATGAAAGGACGAGAGTCCCGTCGACCCTCTCGCGTTAACAGGTTATAACGTGTGTGTGTGTGTGTGTGTGTGTGTATACACGGTTATGTACACACGCAGCCCGTGCCGTACGTGTGCGGTGGTGTTTACTTGTACGTGCGTGTGCGTAAATGTGCGTGCGGTCGGACCGTGAGGGGAGTGACTATGCGGCGGTGGCTGCGGAAATCAAACGCTAGGGTCGCCACCAGAGTTCGGTAGCGTTGACAACACACAACGCGCGACAAGGGGGCGTCCAGCGAGGCCCCCCGGTAATTTTGCCCGGTGCTTGACGTGGCCGCTCGGGCGATCGCGGCACCCGGCTTTGGCGCGCGCATACGCCGCACACGGACGCGTACGTACACGGCCACGCACGCACACACGGAACCGCGCAAACGCAAACGCAGCGCACTACGGTCGGCTACGACGGCACTGGATCGCCGCAGCGCACCGCTCACAGCAGTCAACCGCGTTTCCGGACACCGACGGCCACTGAGACGGCGGCAGTAACCAACACCAGGCAGAGGAAGAAGCGTCAGCAGCGCAGCTAAAAACCACCACCACAACCACCACCACCATCACTACCACCTCGTCGGCGCAACAGTTATTCCGTCTAACTCGACCGCGTCCCCCGCAGCCGCACCGCAGGTAAAGTTTTCCCGCCGCATCGGTTATCGTTTTGATTTTTTTTTTTTTACATATTTTCGACGATACGCACCGGGTAAAAATCTCAGCCGGATCATGCGTGTTATTAATTTTTTCTACCCAATTCCCTTGCCCGCACCTTTCCTGTACATTTAATTGTTCCAATGCAACAACAGGCACGTTTCCTCCAAAGTCTATCGTCGTTTTCCTGCCTCTCGTGAAAATATTATATTACGGTTCCAAAAATGTTTTCTCGAGTCGACCGGTCTGTGTATCGAATCCATTACGTTACGAAAGGAAAAATTCTTTTGGACGACTTATGTTGTAGACTTACGATTTATGACATTTGAATGGTAATTTGTTTGTGCACAGCCATGACGTATTTAATTTCATTTTAACACAATACCAACGGTTCGAACGAACGTATACGTACGAAAACTTTGTGCCGAAGGAATTTAATCAAGTCGTGATTTTATTAAACCATTATTTCTCCAAATATGTTTTATGTTTTACGGATGACACGAAATGTTGTGTTATTGTATAAAAATACGTAGAAACTATGTGAAAAAATAATGGATAAGAATTACAGAATAACTGATAGTACATCGCATATAAAAAATAATGTGAAATAGAAAAAAAAAATCACCACCGAGAGATTCTTATAACTCTAGTTCAAGTATACGACTATAAACGAATTTATAAATTGTTGTTATATGAAAATTCATTTACCTGTAATATTGTGGCTTTACCAATACCGTTTTTATACACCATTTAAAATTTTAAAACATTTGTTTATTAAAGTATGAAATATACAATACCCAATAAAGAGACCTTATCTTCTACTTTGTATATTCAAAATTCATTAAAGTTAATTGATCATACAAAATTCAAAATTCAACCATAAGTCGGATGTTGTCCAAGCAGAAAAAACTATTAAGCTTTAAATTAGCCGATTATATTAAATTTTCTTGACATCTTTCATTTACATTTATGGACATATTAATTTACTCATAAAAAATTAATTTTTTAAAATATATTTAATTTTTATTATATGGATTATAATAAATCACCAATTGGATTACAGAAAAATAAAAATATTCAATTTATTTAAACGTTTAGTTTTATTCAAAAGCGCAAAGTAAATCTAAACAATTTTATTTGAAGAATTTTCAAAGAAAGAATAATTTATATTAACTGTGAGTTGATATTGATACACTGCGATAAAGCAATTTTTTAACGTTTTGGAATATTTAAAATAAAATATGAGCATATAAATTAAAATAAATAACTATGAATTTACTATTTTCAGATATATAAATTTATTTATTTTAATTTTACTAACCATGATTTGTTAACTATTTTTAAACACTTTAAAACAAAAGATTATGAAAAATATAGAAAAATAATTCACTGATAAATTGTAAACTGAATGAAATGAGTATGAAAGGATGAAAATTGATTAAGAAAGTGGTTTTTGTCTTTGTTAACTTAGTAATTAGCTGACTATCATGTTTGCCTTCATAATTATTTTATAAAACAATAGCTACCTTTGTTAGTATCACTTTCTTATTCAATATAATATTTAAAAACAAGAACTTATAATCATGTTCCGCATGTTAAATGTAATTACCTACATTAAGTAATTAATAACTGAAATATTGACATTTTATAGATTAATAATATATTAAAAGTTGTTTTAATGTCCATTATAATATAGATGTATTTATTTCATGTTATAACGTGTACTATTCTGATTTATTTATAAAAAAAAAAAAAAAATAATAATAATATCTTTTTCATAATCTAATTGAAAACATTTGTTTGATTCGATACTTGTGTATATTTTTCTAGTTACTATTGAAATTGAATGTAGTTTTCCAAAAAAATGTTGAAGCCAATATCAGTTTTAGTTTAAAATATAAAACATAATGCATAACACAATGGTTATTATATATAAGCGATGTATTAACGAATATAGGAAATAAAAAATTACATTTTTATGTTAATATATTCTTTATAAATTTACCATAATTCAAAGTTTTACTGAAGAGGAAATGTTTTCTATAAAAAATCAAATACACAACAGTTTTCTAAAATATCTTTTGGAACATCGGAAGAGATGTAGACGATTGCCCAGACGCAGTTTTTTTTTTATGCAGAGATTTTAGTTGACCTTTTCAACTTTTGTGTTCTATAAAATGTAGTAGTCCAGTGAATCATAAAAACATATCCATATAATTTTTCTATATATATTATTATCGTTGTAATATTATTGTCATTTACGCATTGGATTTATTATGGATTAAAATTTTCTAATATTTTTTTATTTTCCAGTTTTGAAAATGCAAAAATAATTCGTTTGAATAATTTATACTTCAAGTATTTATTTTTAATTTTTGAGAAAATTATTTTTGAAGAACTTTAAAATAAATTTTTCGGAATCTTGAACTAATTCGGATAGTATTTAGTTTTATTTCGTTTATCGCGATTAATGTGTGTTTATATATATTTTTAATTATTTCGTGATAATTGTCTACTCTACTCCAAACGTATTATATCTTTTTTATAAACATTTTAAGATTAAAGTATTCAAAAAACACCTATTAAAAAATGTGAGATTAATATTTTATGATAAAATACCAAAGTTTAGATTACATAACAAAATATAAAGTACGGTATAACAATATACTTGGACCTAAGTATTGTAATTGTTCTGCTATATGACATTAGAATATGCATGATATCTTAAACTTTCTGTATTATGTTGCCATTTTATTTATATGCACATACATATGTATATATAAAATATATGCGTGTATTTGATGAAAGAATGGGTGATGACATTAATTCTTGTCGTAAATCATCGGAATACAACAGGTTATAAGTAATACTGAAATACTCGAATACAAGAAATGAATGAATTATTATACGTCATTGATAGGAAAAATATTTTTACCAATTTTAATATGATACATCTTATTGTTCGATTTCAAATTTTTTTTTTTTATCTTTGCAGCAATATATTATAAAATTATTTAATGTTGACAATAGGTAAATAATAAATTAAAGAATAAAGTATTGTGTTATTTTTATTTAATCAAAAATGCAAGCGGAAATATAGGTAGTCATAACCGAAAAATAATGAGAGCTTAGAATATACACATATTTTATTCCAAATTGTGAATGGATTTATATACAAATCACAAAAAAAATTTGGATAAATATGTGATCACTGCATTATAAAATAAATCAAAGTTAAAAACTGTATTAGAGTTAAGAACATTAAAATAATCAAAATCATAGATGATTCTATTAAATTTATTACCATGATTAATGCATTATATAATCATTCAGAGAATATAATAATATATTTTTAAGTCATAACGTATAATTTTTGACATTATTAAATTTCAAATAAAACTATAAATGATAATTTAAATAAATTTTTGGTTTATATTTTGTAGCTTAAAAATCGTTGATTTATGCATTTCTTTTAAAAACATTTCGAAACTAAATAAAGTTTTGCTCTACTTATTTTTTTGTTTAACTATTTTCCGTGATTTTTTTTACAAATATTAGACATTTAGTATTATTTATATCCTTAAAATTTCCATTTTATTGTCGTTTTATTTAATGTAAATTTTTATAACTTAAAAAGAACCTTACGTTTGTTCAACAAATTCCCTTGTAATTTCGTATAAAATATAAATTTTTTTTTATTATTAATAGCAGTCAATGATAGTGAATTTAAATATCATCGGGTAGCAAATGTTTTCTTTCATAAAATGTTACTGCAGTAGGTGATGACGTTCTATTGTGGTTTCTTAAACAGTAGACAGTAATTATTAAGGTTTTCAATATGTTGTATTCACAATAGTTAACATAAGAACATTTTAACACTATTATTTTTAACTTGAAAAAAATATAGTACCTAAATATTAGTTATTAGTATAATTTCCATAACTGTGAAATTATTATTCATATCTTATTCCACACTGATGAATAATATTTAAATTGTTTTTATTCAAAAAACTTAAAAATACACGAATAAATAATAGTTTTTAGCTTATTAGTCATTTTATGAGTAATAAATTGAATAAAACATAGTACAGAAATTACGACTGCTGCTGAAGCAATTAGATCACTATGTATTGCTGTGCAAGCACTACATATTTCTGAGGTTTAGTAAAAGAATTTCATAATATTAATATAAAGAAAAAAATAAATCCTTAACTTCAAATCTGTTTTCATAAAATTATATATTATAATATACAGTTTAATTTTATTTTAACTTAATTACAAAGGATTAAAAAAAGACATTTGTTTCTAAATATTTGACTAACTATTATAAAAATTAATATATTGTAAACAATTAATAATTTATGAAATTTATACATATATTTTATTATATGTATGATAAACAACTGGTTCACAAGAATAAAAGATAAAAATATCACATGCATAACAAATATTATAAACTTAAAAGTTTTTCACAATATACTGCCTTAATATAAATTATTGATCGAATACCTAATCGAATACATGCATAGGTAACTTATAATTTAATAGCTTCAAATATTGATCTGTATAATTGTTAAAGAAATATAATGTTCAAATATTGTATTGAGTTAATATTGAATGGAATTGATTTTGCCTGAAACATATTTATGAAAAGATATATTTTGATATTCTAACTTCCTTGACGTTTTTAAGAACTACGTCAATATTGTAAAAGGAAATTATATGTTGCTTTTTAAAACGAATGCTTATAAGTTATAACATAATAATATACTTAAAAATATTATTTACATAAAATATGATTATATTTATATGGGTATTCCATATATAAATAGGTTTATGTCTGTTTTCTCCAGAAAAATGTCCGGGTATGTTTTCAATTTTTCTCCATATATACTCATACTAGCTCTAATATCTACCGATAAAAAAACATAACACACTTGAATTCCTTAATTGTTCATTGAATTATTCATATCAGTTATTTT